CCCTGGTCCACCCTGGTCTTGACTCTGATCTGGCTGTCTCACCAATACCTCAGACTCAAACTGCACTATGACAGATCTGTTGCTTTGCCTTCCATCAGTGAGGAATACAGACCCATCAAAAGACCACTGTGTGCATTAATCATCAACATTTTACATGCATTCCTCAGTTTCAGTTTTGGACTCTAAACTCCAAATTTCTCTAAAGATGTCTCTAATACCATGCAGATTTTTTTCTTCTGTGACTGTTGGCCGTATAGATGAAATACTGATTGACCTCCTGGCCTCACTGTTAATCCTCCTGGACAAATGCACAGCCTCTACAGAATTTAGTTTTTTGCCTCAGACACTTTCAGTGGCTCGCTAGAGAAGTACAGATGCCTCACCACACCCCATACAGTTCTGTTTCTCAGCTTATTTTCTGTGTTGTGTATTCTCAGGCATCCTTTGTCCCCCTCCTCCAGCCAGGGCAGGGCCTACCCCTGCCTGAGCCTTCCTTGAAACTGCTCATAATCCTGCAGTATACCCACCTGTGACTGCTGTTTCCTCTGTCAAGCTCTGGTTCAATTGCCATCGCATCTGAGCTCTGCCTCAGTGCCAGCACTTGGAATTAGCTACCTTTTCTGCAGAACCTTGTTGGTTTGATCCTTTCGCCTCTGGTACCCTGTGCAGCACCTGCAGTCAGTGTGGTCTGTATTCCTTACTGGGATTCAATTTCAGAGACCAGAGGCCCAGGCCCGTGCAGAGGATGAAGGGGTTACTTACCTAACAAGCAAACACATCCATTCTTTGGCATTTAAATTTCCTCTAGAGCTGTCAAATACTAGAGGGACACGTTGCGCGCACACAGGGTGCCATGTTGTACCCTTCCTACTTGTGAGAGTGTGAAGCTCATTCGTGTGAAACCTGTTTCTTTCCAGCTGCTTCCTCTTATTCTCACTGATGGGTTTGATGTCAGCCTTTGCCTGATGAGAGCACAGAGGCTGGGTATCAGAGCAGCTGGTTGTTTGGTCCACCAGTGTGGGTTTCATTCCCACCTTTGCCCTTTTTATGAAGGGCGACGGCCCTGCGGGCAGGACTTGTGCTTTCCTTCTGCTTCGGTTTTCTTTTCTGTCCTTCTCTTCCCCACAGGGATCCTACCAGCATCTGCATCATGGAGAAGTAGCGAGAATTAGAAAGATGAGGATCCTTGTAAAGTGCCTTGCACAGAGCAGACATTCGGTGACCGAATGCAGGTCCATAAGGTCCTGGGAGGTTCTTGTGCGCCAGGCCAGGACCTGGGCCACTACAGCCCACACAGGATTGTGTTGTTTTTCTGCAGTTAGAAGAGCAGGGGTGCGTGGAAGTTGTACAGGTTTTAAGAACTGCAGCTCTGGAGTCTGGTATGCTTTCTCTTGAGAACATTAAAGACCTGAGGTTTTAAAATACAGTAATTTAGAATATGGGCTTGGAAAAAAGTTGTGTGGGGGGGGTGACTAGATAATTCAATGTATTAAAGCACCTGCTTAGGCAGACACAAGAGTGCCTTGCTGGTCCTTCCCCCCCAGGGCACTGAGAGGGCAAATGAGACTGAGCCTGGAGGTGCGCCTGTAATCCCAGCGCTTGGGAGGCTGAAGACAGGAGAATCACTGCGAGTCAGATCTGTTTAGTAAGACCGTGTAGACCCTGTAGACTGTGTCCTAAATACAAAATAATAATAATAGTAATAATAAGGGCTTGGAAGCCTGAGTCTGGGTCATTTCAGCTCTGCTGCTTGCTGGCTGTGTGATCCAGTGCAAGTTACTTAATCTTTCTGTTTCTCAGCTTCTTTATCTCTTAAGATGGAGGTAATCGTTGTACTGTGTAGGCGCCCAGGGGATATTAGATGAGATAATATAAATCCTTGGTACCTCTGCCTGGTACATAACATGTGCTGATTTCATTCTTGATGCTGCCGTTTCATCAGCCAGGCAGCCTGAGCTTCCTCCTGTACCACACTTGGTATTGAGTGGGAGGTGCCCCCTGAGGTAGGCCATGAACTTTCCAGGCACAAGTCCTTGTCACTCCCATCACCCTGCAGTTGCCCTGCTTCCTTCCTGACAGTTTGGTCTCGCTGTGCTGAAAGTCCATCCCTGTGGGGTAGGAACCCTCAGGAGCATTAAGCATAGCAGTTCTTAGCCTGCGGCCTACACCTGGGGCACCAGGTTCCCTAAAGGCCTGGACACAGGCCTCCCCCAGCCTCACTGAGAAGCTCTGGAGGCGGCTCTAGCCTTGGTATTCCTTGGCATTCCTCCATAAACTTCGTGAGCTTGTGTAGCACGTGTTTTCTACTTACATTAGTTACATTTGGTTTCTGAGTAAAATTCAAAATGGCAAGGTGTGTTCCTAGGTACTTCTGATTCATAAATCCTGAACTCGGTGGGGCTATTGCCTAAAATCATGCTTTTCCTGATGTATTGTGATGGCCTAAACCCAGACTTTTCACGTAGGTATTGCCATGGCAAACTGTAGCTGAGCCCAGAATTGTAAAACCAGGCCTATCATATGGAGGAAATATACCCCAAGAAAGCGCTGCCCTTAAACAATGACAGGAAAAAAGTAGCTAGATGTATAGCAAGAAAAAAATCTGTTTGACAGGCAGGATGGGGGCTAATCTGTTTGACAAGCAAGATCTGTTGCATATTCCCTTTATGTACACACCATGTCTTCTGGTCAGGACTGCTCACTTAGACTCAGAAACGGGTCTGTGCTGAAGGTCGCTGAGCTTAGCTAATAAAAAACTTCAAATTTTAATTATATGGCTCCTTGGATTCCTATATTGATTATGAACCCACAGCAGTATTTGAGCCTGCCTCCTTTGGTTGAGCTTTTCCACTCTGGGTGTTTTGTTATATTAAGGTACAGGTGACTTTCTAGAGGACTTTCATTCCTTACAGTAACTCTATCGACTTCTAACTTCATTGAACTGGGGACCCCTCTCCTGCCCCGTCACACAGTAATTTCCCTTGGTTTGTCAAGAGTCATCTATGTGTGACAGTTACACTCCCCTTCCCTTCTTTCTCTTCCTGGAGAATATTCTGAAGACCTCCCCCTATTTATCTTGTGAAAATAATTACATCTTACTATTTATTCATTCATTTATGTGTGTGTGTGTGTGTGTGTGTGTGTGTGTGTGTTGCTGGGGATTGAACCCAGGACCTTCAAACTGAGTGAGCTATGTCATCATCCCTCATCCCCCTCCTTTTATTTTGAGACAGGTTCTTACTAAGTTGCTCAGTTTCCCATGGTAGGGTTGAACGTGTGATCTTCCTGCCTTAGGTTTCCAGAGTGATGGGATTACAGGTATGTTTCATCATGCCCAGCCTCCATTTTAGCTTTTCTTTTTTTCTCTTTTCTTTATGTTTGTTTGTGTGTACCCAGAGTCATACTCAGGACCTTGTACTTGCCAGGCAGGCCCTTGTGCTGCTGAGCTGTATCCGCGGCTCATTTTAGCTTTTGACAGAAGCCTTCACCACTGGGGCGAGAGTAGTGGTATGTGCCTGTGATCCCAGCACTCAGGAGGCTGAAGCAGGCGACTCACTGGAGGGCAGGGCCAGCCTGGGCTGCTAGTGAGTTCAGGACCAGCATGAACCACACAGTGAGGTCCTATCTCAAAAAACCAAACCACTCCAAAACAAAACAAAAGAAATAGCTCTGAATTGTATTCTGAATGCAATTGCTATAGTAAATTTGACATTTTTTTCTTTTTATTCTTTTCTATGTGTCATGTATGGCTGTTATATCATCCCATACATAAATTCTGAAATTTAGAATTGTGATTGCTAGTCTTGAGGAGCATCATTTTGTGAATGTGATTTTAAGATATCTCTGGTATGCTTTTTCCCTTTGCTAAATTATTTTATTGTACAAATCAGGCACTTTGATGTTGACTGTAATGTAATGGAATAATTATTTATAAATAAATGGAATAATGTATTTATATTTATGGAAGATTTTGATATTAAAATTTTATCTGGAAATTCATACATTAAAATGCTTTCATATATAGGTTACACTACCAAGCATAGATTGTTATTGATGAGAGTGATTTCCGTGCAAATAACTTGAAGTATGTCTCTTTGCTGTTATGCAGTACACTCAACAGAGGTCACATGGATTTACTGACCTCTAATGGTAATGTCAAAAGCACTTTATAAAGGTGTATTTTAGAGATTGTTACATGCTAGTTATTGATTTTACTCAGCCAGTATCAAAAGTGTATGCCTAAATCATTCTGTCAGTAGCTTTTGAACTGAGATGTGGCTCAGAGCCACACAAGCGTTGCAGAGTGACCTTGCTTTTTTATAGCCAGTGGTCAGCTCAGACATGCTCTTGCCCCTCAGAGCCTGCGTGCGAAGTGGAGAGCAAGCGAAGGGAGCTCACCGTGCGATTCAAAGAGCTGGTATCGTTGGATGATAACCTCAGCGACGGGACTTCCTTTATGCACTTCCTTCTCTAGTACATAAAAAATTAAACCCATTTATTTTATCAACTATTTATTAATTGCACAATGAGGCAGCCTCTGCCATCAGAAATATAGATAGGTTATTTAAGAGCAGGATTGTATTTCAGCAAGTAATTACAAAGTTATATGATAAGTACAAGAATTGGGCTCTGACAGCATGCAGATGGTGGAGCAATTGACGTTGAGGTGCAGTGGCAGGTGGGCCACAGGAGGGGCCACAGTCCCATTGACGGCAACTTAGGGATTGCACAGTGCAAGTTTTCTAGGTGATGAAAAGGAAGTGTACATGTGCATTGGCCCAGGGGCAAAAGTGTAGCATATTCTGACAATTGCCATTTTATACAAGAGTATTAAGTTTAGGGAGTGGAAAGGTGGTTAGCCAGTGACTTTAGGAAGGTAGGTAAGTTCTGTGGCCTTGGGGGCCTTAAGGCCATGGGAGGAAAGAGACCTGGTCTTTGTGTTATGATGCTTGTGTTGAAGCTGGCAAAAACATACATGTTTACAGAGAATGTTTTTACCTTTTTTGTATTTTCTCTAGCTAATATTAATTAGCACTTGTAATTCCAGAAAAAAACCACATGTCCCTTAAAAACTATTTTTAGCCCACAAAGGGACTTAGGAAATTAACAGAAGTAAGTAAGAATAAGTAGACATTGAAAATAGAATTTCCAGAGGATATTACTGCTTTTTGGGTCAGCAACTACATTCCTTATGTATATACCATGAAGAGCACATTGTACTTTAAAAACAACTGGAATCCATGATTTGTGGGAAATACTTTGGAAAGTATCAAGAAAACTTATAAGAATGTAACTGTCATTAGCAGCGCAGTCAGGAACTGCAGCTAAATAGTAAGTAGATCTGTGATGAGGAACTTAACATGCACCCGGAGGGTGGTGAGGTGGTTGTTTTTAACCAGGTGGCAGAGGTGGGGTGTAGACAGTGGCCCAGGGAAATCCTGCTGAAAAACAGTGTTCTCCTCCTCAGTTTATATGCATTGAGAGTGTGTGGCTTGTACCTCCTGTAGTGTACTGTAAAGTGTAGAAGAGGCTCTTCAGAATCCTGAGGAGAGACTTCTGCCCCAGGATTTCAGAGGGGTTTTTGAGCCACGTGGAATCCTGAGACTTCATGTCTGGCATGTTTCCATCTCTGTTCTGGCTTTCATAGAGGAACTTGGGAAGTTAGGGTTCGTTTATGTCAGAAATATTAACATTTTACTGCTATAAAGGAGGTTGCATTCTCAAAATTGCATGGGAAAGAATGAAAGATGTTTGGAGAGGAGGCTTTTTGGGATAAAGTTCTTAATCTTTCCCAAGGTATTAATTAAATGTCCTTGAAAAGGTGACCCCTAGTGGCCATTTGCTTTCTGTTTGTTGGGTTCTCATATTGGCTGCTCCTGCTTATGAATAGATCTGAGTGGAGTTAAGTTACACAGGCTTTGCTGTACACTACGGTAATTTTAAGAAAGCATTAATTACAGATTTTTTTCTTTTGCTTAATTTTGATTTTTAAGTAAATGACCTCTTCAAATGTCATGACAAGCTGGAAATTAGTCACATACACAGTTGTCAGCCTAGGGTTATGTTTACTGTTGCACTGATGCAGTGTTCTTGGTTTGATGCTGTGGTCTTTTTCCATTTCATACATGGCAGTCTTTCTGTGAATTTTTTACATAAGAATATATATATTAAAGGGTCCATACAGATGTTAGTTGCTGCCAAAAAGAGAGTTGTTTCTTTCGCAATGAACAGCTGATTCTGCCGCCTGCAGTCGGTTGTGTGGTTAGTCTGGCTGTGAGTGTATGGTATCCTGGCAAAGTGAAACGGAGCAAAGCACGCGAAGAAGACCGCCACCACCACAAATACCTTCCCTTCCACCCTTCTGCTGCTTTTGCCGTCCTGACTTCTGAACCTCTTATAAGAACTATATACTTTCATTGCAATTACCAAGTAAAATAGAAACATTAGAACAAAAACAGTCCAAAAAATAAACTGGCATATGTAGTTGACCACTTGGTGCCACCACAGCCCCAGAGGGCTCTTCAGCGATGCACACTTCTTCACAGAGGATGGTGTCACTGTCTTATTGTTCAGGATCATATTTGGCAGGGAGATGAGGAACAACAGGACCCAGATGAGGGTTGAGATTATTTTTGCAGAAACAGGTTTTTTAATAAAGTATTTCCCAAAAGGTCTGATGATCTTGAGGAATCTGTCAAAGGCTATGAGGCCCAGCAGCATGATTCCGATATACATGGTCTCGTAAAAGATCACGGCAGAAAAGCGACACACAAAAGCCCTGAGTTGCCAGGGACCAAGGTGTGAGTCAGAGAGGATTTTGAAAGGAAGCGTGAGCGTCAATATCAAGTCAGCCACCAAAGTGTTCTTGAGATAGACGATGAAGGTGGAGGAGCTGGGGATGTGCGTGAAGGTCCACAGTGCCAGAGTGTTCAGCAGGACGCCGGTGAAGAAAACCACGGTGTAGAGGGCTGGGAACACCAGCTGTGTTACCCGCGTGTCTCTTGGGCACCGCTCAGACCGGTTGAAGCCCTGCATCACTGTGGCATTGGCTGCGTCCAGTGTCATCTATTACAAAAAAATGCATACAGAAACAGAGGACAACAGAGATCCCTTTGTGATGGCCAGTGCTACTTCTAAAAAACAAGCTTTAGGTTTGTAACATATTAGATTCCGGCATTTATTCAGAACATTTGTTGAGAACCCACATACTGGCTAGAAATTTTTAAGCACACAATACATTTTTGGCACTTCTAACAGTATCATTACTTTCATACCCTGTGACATCTGAAGAGGAGGTTCTGCCTCATTCACAATTGCCAGTTTTAAAATGGCAAAAAAACAAAATCCTGATGAAGTGGTAAGGTAATACATGTTACATGTTCTATGTTACATATAGAAATTCTTTTATGCTCATAACTTATGGTTTGTAGAATACTAACTTTAAAGCATTTTTCTTCAACATATTCTGCCCTTTAAAAGCAAGTGTATTCATAAGAAAAATTGAAATTCACCTTCATTCAAGAAGAGACTCAGCTCTGCCTCTTCTTATTCCTGCGGTCATTAGTTTGTCCTGTGAAGAGCTTTCGGATGCCAGTGTTCTGCTTTCTTATACTGAGCTTCCTTCCTCATTTCACTTGTGTGCTTTTGTAATGTGACCAATAGAACACACTTGGGAGTTTTGCAGATAAACTTTTGTTGTAGAATTATTAACTTTTAATGTATAATCTGAACAATTTAGTTGCAGTTACCTTTGTTTTGTCATAATAACTTTCCTGAAGTCAGATCTTTTCATTGTACTAGTCAATGAATATTTTTAGTGCTTCTGGTATGAATGAAGATGAAGAAATACAGTCCAAAGCCATAATCAAGCTGGCTCTAAAATCAGAATCACCTGCATACGTACAGGCTGAGCTTTACAGAAATTTTTGTTCACATGGGTGCCATGCTTTTGTAGTCACTTTTCTTTTACTCCTCCTTCTCCTCCTCCTCCTCTTCCTCTTCCTCTTCTTCCTCCTCCTCCGCCTCCTCTTCTTCTTCTTCTTTTTTTTTGGTCTTTTTGAGATAGCCTTCTGCTATGCAATTCAGACTGGGCTTGAACTCAATTTGAATCCCAGGATGGTCACAAACTCACAGTGATCCTCCTGCCTCAGCCTCACAAATGCTGGGAATGTAGGGTTGAGCCTCCATACCAGGCTTTTATAGACTCTTGTTTTAATCTTTTGATCTTGGGATTTCTTAGAGATAGTGTAACATTTTCTAAGCAGTAGGGTTCTTAGATTTATATTTTTGAGGTAAGAACCCTAAATCTACTAATTATTTGGTATCAGATTATTGATAAAGGATTTCACAGCTCTGCGTCTACATATTGTTGCTTGTATAATGTTTCTGAAAATATTATCCATGTTATAGTATTGTAGAGAAGATGAACTAATTGCTCAGAATTGTGCTGGGCACACAGAAAGCATTGAAACATAGTAGACACCCCCAGCTCTGGTGCATGAATGGCAGAGTTGAGTGGAGATACATGATTTCACTTATTAACCATTTTAAGGAATCATTTTGTATTGTATTTGAAATACAGCACACTTCGGAGATGTCATGAATGTTTGAGGCTAACCTCTTTAGGATTAGTGTTTTACCCCTTTCCTCTTCACATCTCTTGGGGTATAAAGAAAGTTGTTGACTAAGGGTTTGCTTCTCAGATAGGTGAAGGGAAAGAGGAAATTGGGAGATCTTACGGCGTATGTGGATTCGCCATGGTAAGTTTCATTTCCTAACTCTTGCCACAGGTGTGACCATAGAGTTAGACTAAATTGGAGGGTTGAGTTGGCTTAGGATTCTGAGGGTAGAAATTCTGTATTTCCTTGAACATCATTAAGTATGAAGTGACACAGTACCTACTAGTTTTGGTTGATTCTAACCAATGGGCAGTGCCATTTGAAAAACTTATATGTGACTCAAATATTGTTGATCCTCAGGAATATAGACTCAATGTTTTGCTAATGTATTGGGACATAATTTAAACATATATCTTTTTGTTTGCCTCAGCAGAGGCTAACAATGAAGCAAACTTTTTCTTTTTTAAAGTTTTATGTAGAGGTGCTTCACCTATGTAGTTCATTACCAATTTCCTTCCAGCCCCAGAACAATTATATAGGTTTAGATACTTTTACTTTAAACAAGGTAAATTCTGGACATGATAATTTCATAATATGAAAACTGAAAATCACATTTTGGTTGAATGTGTGAGAAACTTTGAAAGAGGAACCAATTAACTATGACTCTTCTAGTCATGAAAGTGAATTCTTTTAAATGTGTATGAAAGTGTTTGACCACTGGGCTTGTGAAACTTTCTGCTGCAAACTGAGATTAGAATTTGAAAACACATTGGTTGAAAACTACGGTAAGGAAGGAATCAAAGAAGAGAACATGAAGGGTCATGAAGCATAGCTTGCCAAGCAGCAGCAAGCTCTTCCATGGGTCTCCAAGTTAGGTCGAAGGATTCCTGTTGATCTGATTGATCAGTACTGTGTGAATAATGTCTGCCAGATGAGGAAGTGTTTACTCTGATTTGCAAAGACAGTGGAAATGGGAACTCGCGTATTCTAAGAAGAGACTTTTAATTCCCATCAGAGTATACCCTGGTACTTTCCTCAAATCTCAGAGCATTGTTTTAAAAATTCCATGCTATTGTCCCAATGGTGATAAAGAGCTCAACTAAATTATACAATTTAAAACTTAAATACAGTGATTTGTTGAATGTTAAAATAGTAGAAAATTTGTACTTGTAACTAAAAACAAAAAATAAATTGTTAGTATTATTTGAATCACTTAATAGTTTATGTTTAATATTTAATTTTAAAGTATGTTTTTTAAAGCCTAAATACAGAAGTAGATGTAGCAGAGTGGGGAAGTTAATCCCCCTTTATGGATGTACCAATATATGTATACATGTATCTTACATTGTATATACATTGAATCTTTGTTTAGGTCCATAGTTAGTGTACATATGTTAGTGTACATAGACATAGTTTAAAAAGCAACATACACTTTAATAAATGTAATAATAAATAAATCTAGCATAGTTTAGTTTAGCTGCTACTGGGGACATTTAGTTTCCAAGTTTTCCATGAAGAGTGAAGCTATGAAGTAAATGTATGGCCATATATTCTTGTGTGCTTATTTCAGTGTATTTATAAGAGATTTTCTACAAGTAGGATAGCTGAGTCAAAAATTATATGTCAGAATGTTGAGTGATATTTTCAAAAAGATGGTACAATTTATACTCCTACCAAGAGTAGAATTCCTTAAAATTATTGAAAAAATTTTATTCCTTAAAATTTTTAAATTCTATTAGAAATTGTACTAATTTTTTGCTGGCCTATAGGGAGGAGCATTTAATGCTTAAATTTTTTTTCTCATTTTAGTTTTTTTTTTTTTCTTTTGGTACTGATTTTGCATGTTTATACCTGCTTATTTGAATAACTAATCAGAAGACAACAATATACAATATAAAAATCATTGTTGAATTTCTATCACTTTGTTTAGTAAAATTCTATATTGTTTCTAATTTTTTCTCTTACCATTTCTTCTCTTAAAAAATTAAAAATAAAATTTATTATTTTAATACATTTTTATTACTTATTATATGTATGTATTTGAAATTTATAGATAGGATGTATATATTTTATACTTCGTATTTCTTAAAATATTTTTTAAGGGGCTTGATACCCTGGGCTGCCCCGCCGGCCCCGCCCCCAGGACACGCTGAGATGGTGATTGAGACAGCGTGGTGGCTTGCACCTGTAACCCAACTCTCGGGAGGCTATACACAGGAGAATTACTACCAGTCTGATCTACTAGTGTGACCCTGAACACCCTGTAGACCCTTCCCTAAAATACAGAAGAAAAATTTTTTTTAATCATGTGTGAATGTATGTATGTATGTATGTATGTGGTACAAGGACTTGCTACACAGCTCAGACTCATAGTGATCCTCCTGCCTCAGCCTCCCCAACTCTAGGAATACAGGTGTGCGCCACCACGCTCAGACCTAGTGGCCAGCCCAGCATGCCTGGGATTCTGGGAGCAGAACAGCATACAGTACCAGGGATTGAACCTGGGTCCTTGCACTTGCTAGGCAGGTACTTAGACCACCAAGCTATCTCCCCAGCCCCTATACTTTGTATTTTAATGTGATGAAAATATTCTCAGTCCATTAGAAACTCTAAGTAAAAACTGTGCCAAATACATACCTTTATAAGAAGGACATGTATATTATTTTTAACTGCCACTTGTGTTTCTCCTAGGAACTGCTTTCTACTGCCCAATTTAGTTTTAGAAATTAGGCTGCTTATTATTATTTGTTGCATTCCCACATTTGTAGCCCCCACTGGCAGTATTTAATCCCACTTTGAACTCTGCCCACTGGCAGTGATCAGCTCTTTGCTGTGTGGAGCTGCTGAAGCACCTCTAAAGATGGTTCTGGGCCGGCCTGATAGCTCAGAGGACTAAAGCGCCTGCTTAGGCAGAGTACCGAGGCGCTCTGAGGTGATGGAGACTGGGCATGGTGGCATGCCTGTAATCCCACACTTGGGAGGTTGAAAAGAGGAGGATCACTACGAGTCCAATCTACATAATGAGACCCTATAGACCCTGTACTAAATACATTTTTTTTTTTTTAAAAAAAAAAAGCAGGTTCTGTTTCTGAGAGCCTGTCTTTCTATTCCTGTAGTACTATCTCAAGGGATGACAGTCTCCACTTTTAGAGCGAGGAAGGAAATATTTAAATTGTGCAGGCGTGGCAGTGTTCATTCCCACAGCTCCACTCTGCTGCTGTCGCTTGGAAGCAGGTGTAAACACTGCCTGGATGACCCGATCGTGCTGCTTGAACTCTTACTTGTGGGTGCTGAAACGTGAATTTCGTGTTTCATGAAATTTTCTTTTCACTTTTCCCCCACAAGCACTGGAAAGTATAAAAACATTGTTAGATCATAAATTGTGGGAAGTAAGTGGTAAGCTGTGGTTTGGCCTAGTAGTCGAAGCTGCCAGCCCCTGCTGTGATGAAGCCTTGAGAGGAACTGCCTTCAGGAGCGACTGTAGGCTTTGGAGACCACTGAGGCTGCAGGCTACATTGCCTGTCTGTCTTCTGACTTTCTCACTCACCTATATCTGTAAGTTTTTTTTACAAATAAAGTCATTGTGGAATATCAAGTTTATTATATCAAAAATTTTAAAGCTGGAGATAGTAACATAGTATGTGTAATTTTTTTTTTTTTTTTTTTTTGGTGGAACCGGGAATTGAACTCAGGTCCTTGCACTTGCCAAGGAAGTGCTTATTCCACTGAGCCATCTCCCCGGCCCCAGTATGTGTAATTATAAGTAGCACTCAATAAATATTGACTTCTCAGGTTATCTTTTGTTTGTCGGAGTATATGGTACCTATTGTCTTTGAATAAAGAAATTTGAACAAAATATGACTTAGAATGTATATGATAGGTAATTGAAGATACAATAGTTTTTTAAATAAAAAAATCCCATAATACTACATAGACTATGCAGCATGTGTAGTTTTTCTATCTCTTTGAGGAAAAATGTCATTTCAGCAAATTAGTACAGCCCAATAAAGAAGGATTGTTGAGGTCACCCCTGTCTACTCTGCAGTTTGCCAGCATGCTCACATCTGCCGTCCTTGGCACCATAAAGAGGTCCCTTTTAGTGCACTCGGTAGTCCTGACTTGGAATGGGTTGAGAGGTTGGGCTGGCATTCATTTATCCCACATGCACAGTGAGGTGGTTGGATGAATCTCGTTGTTCTCTAGCTTCTCTTCCAGATCAAAAGTCCTGGTATTCTCACCGAACATGTGGGTGTAGCCATCTGATACCGCGGTAGACTTAGGTGGCAGAAGCAGCCACTGCTGTTGTCCAGCAGTACGCAGCATATGTGTGCTTGTCAGGCAGGTCTCTGTGTGACTCTCCCCTGACATCGAGGCTCGCTTGTACCCGTGGCAGAGTAGGAAACGTGGCTGCTTGAGAACACATACCACTGGGGGACTTCAGTGAGTCCCTCAACTTGTACCAGAATTTACTTTACAGAAATTATAATGTGTTTGAATATTATTGAAGTTCAGCAAACATTTTTATACCACAGTGTACCCTTTTTATTTATTTTGACATATATTTAGAGTTTGTTCCATTTTCTATTTGAGAGTCACCTCTGAGCATCATAAATAATTAATATAAGTGAATTTTACTTCTACCATTACATAGTTTATATTAAAAGCATCAAATATGACCTGATGTGAAAGTTAAATTTATATACTGAAATGGTGCACCATACCCCATAAATATGTACCATGTTTTAATTAAAGAATAAAAATACCCAGTATGGCTTTTCTGAAATCAGACTATGTGCTCTAAGTATGACCAAATTTGTCAATTATGTGTCAGCTTGCTGAGGTGACCTCTTCAGAGGAGACCACACAGCAGCATGTAAAGGGATTCTTTAAGGGATCTAATGTTTGCTGTAATTGTGTGGGAAGAGGGTGTGTAGTATCTTTGACAAAGAATGCCAACAAAGTGATACAGAGTTTAATGTAAAGTTTTATCTTATACACACAGATACAAATGAAGCTATGCCCAGTAGTCACTTTCTTCATAGTAATTATACTGTTCAACTGTGCAGTTATGTTTCATTTATTTTTCTTAGTAAAGGGAAATATTCATTAGCTCAACAAGTATTTCTAGAAGCTAGTTAATAAATATTAGTGTGAATGATGGTGCTGTATCATTAAAGTTGTTAAAATATTAGTAAAACTGACTTCCCTAATTTTTTATTATTAGGGTATTGTAAAAGTTATTCTCCTAGTTTTAATGATTTAATTTACTTATCTCTGTTGTTTACTAGAAAGGCATTCTTTCAATCTCTTATCATCTTACTAAGTAATTACAAAATTCAGTCCCATGAAATATCATTTCAATTAGTTTAACTCCCTGAAGACTCTGATAATTAAAAGTCAGTGGTTATGACTTTACCTATCATACTTACATTTAAAAAAATTTCATAATAGGTTATTATGATTTACTTAGGGGAACAAGATATATGAACATCATAATAAGAACCATTTTTGGCAAATATGTTATATACGATTGCCTTTTTTCTGTTAATACAAAAATAAAATTGTGATGCATGATGTACTTAAAAAATTACAGTAGTTATTGTATAGTAATTGTTGCAAAAGATATGTAAATCATACATTTTTTATAGTTTGTCATGCAGCATGGTGATTAGGTATGGTTTTTTACTACACAGCTATAGAGTAAGTTATTTTCAAGCATCTCAAGATAGCTTTTTAGATTAGAAAAGTCAGTGAAAATTACTTTTGTAGTTATGTATTGAAGAAATACTGTGAAGAACCCTGCTGCTGCTGCTTTTTTTTCCTCTTTTTTTCTTTTTCTTTCTTTTTTTTTTTTTTTGCGGAACCAGGGATTGAACTCAGGCCCTTGCTCTGGGCAGGCCCCCAGGCCCTTGCTCTTGTCAGGGAAGCGCTTATTGTACTGAGCCTTGTCCCCGGCCCCAGCCCCTCTGCTTCTTAGTGTTGACATTTTTACTTGGTGCTTTCCTTTGAGGGCTTCTTAATGCGAGCAGCTTGCAACACTCTCTTGGGAACTTTGTTTACATTGGAGTTTCTTCACTTGGGTCACCACTATCCTGTTCTTTCTTTCTTTTTTCTCTGGATGGAGATTTTCCCGAATTGTGGCACTTCAGCATGCTTATCAAGGAATTTCTGAAGGATTTGCAAAGGAAAAAATAGATAAATGGATCCAAGCATGCGTTCAAGGAAGTTAACCAGAGCGTGCTTTCTTTGACGTAGAACAGAGTGTTCTCTGCAGCACAGTCAAAGACATCCCGGGTCTGACTCAGGGTGTAGGGAATTCGGGCAAAATGGAAAGGAACAAAGCAAATAAAGAACACAGCGATGATGATGAAAACTTTGACATTCACCTTTTTCCTGGGAACTTTGCCTGCTCCCCTTGTTCTTACATATGATCTATAAAGTTCTTTTGTAATGAGCGTGTAGCATACAATTACAATTAAAAAATTAATCCAAAAAATGACTTGACAGATATAATTGACTATTTCATGCCAGACGAGTCCGAACGGCGATTTGAAGAAAGAGCATTTCTTCACATTGTTGTCTCTCGGCCTCCTGTTGGTGAGAATCATGTTAGGCAGAGAGAAGAAGAACATGAAGGCCCAGATGATGACGCAGAGAATCTTGGCCCCTAAGAGATTACTGGGGTTGGATGTTTTAAATGGCCTGGTGGTCTTCTGGTAACGGTCAATAGTTATCAGCCCAAGGAAGGAAATACTGATATACATTGTGAAGTAAAATACGACAGAAGTGACTTGGCACACAAAGGTTCTCAGGGATCCTGGTCCCAGTTCAGCATCACTAAGAATTTTGAATGGAAAAGTCAGAATCATGAGAAGGTCAGAAATGACTGTGTTCTTTAGAAAAATAATGAAGTTAGATTTACTGTTGATTTGAAAGAAAATCCTCACTGCCAGGCTGTTTGTGATGAGTCCGACAAAAAACAGGACAGTGTAGAGCAGCGGGAAGAGGATCTGGGTGATCTTGTAGTCCCTGGCACAGGCGCTGCTGTTCCTGGGCAGGGAGGTGAGGTTGCCTGGGGCCTCCATTTCCTCTTCGCTGCCTGGACAGGAGGGAGGGAGGTTATTTTAATCCCAGCACTTCATGTTAATGTTACCAATCCGTGCAAGTTTCTCAAGCACAGGTGTTGCTAAACACTGAGGTTTCTGGTCTTTATTGTGGCAATTAATAGGACCACAGAAAACTGAATCTCAAAATATTTAATCTTAGCAAATATCCTACTGTAGCCAGGTATAATGATATGATATTAGGGGTGCTCTACATTTCTTGTATGTTGAATATCTACTTTTAAGAGCAATTTTGATCTTCATCTAAGATTAGCTATGATTACATTTAAAAGCCAGGAAAAAAAATGCTTGGGCTATGCTTTATTATTTCTCAACTTCTCTTGCATGCCTCTTAGGGTCTTAAGTTCCTGCATATGCATGGCCTGCACCATCCTTCTTCCTGGCTTCATTTATAGTACTCTCAAATGTTTGGAAGAGAAGTGATCAACAATTGTCTGCTAGAATTTGAAATTAAAAGATAGAAGAAAACAAGTGTGGGATGATTCGAGAATTTTATTAAATACTGACTAGGAAAAAATAGCCAAAATGTTTTCCTGTAAATTATGAAATATTCCTGTCCCTATATTGTCCACTCATTCCTTCAGAAGTCAACTTCATGGTGAATAATTACTTGGCTCTAAATATTTTTAAGTCATGTATGTCTCACTTTCAACTTTATAGACTGTATTTGAAGTTTTACATAAGTTTTATCAATAGCATTCATTTAAAAATTTAAAGAAATGAGGCATTACCTAGGTAAATATGCTCATTACTTGGCACCCTTAAAATAACCAGGATACATTTTTTAGGTGTTCAGAGTATAGAATGGTAACTACAATAAATAGCAAACTTAGGTGCTTTTCTGATTTCTTATTACCACAAAAATCAGCTATAAAGAAAATTAATCAGTGACTTCACTATTGCTACTTGGCATATAAGTTTTGAAGCTTGATATAAAAATTGTGATATTTTATTTCATGCAAAGCAAAATTGATTCTACATAAAATACCATTCCTGGTACATAGTCATGTTGAAATTAAAACTATGTAAATTAATAGGAAAAAAACTCTTTCATGTAAAAGATTTTACATAATAAAGGTAGCACTAAATTCCTCAAACTATTAATAGAATTTTTCTTTATTCTGTAATTATTAGAAACAAAAGAGGTTTGGCTCTGACTCTACTTATCTCATTGTCAAAATAAATAAAAACATTTGTAATTTATTTCTGTTCTTTGCATATTTTCTTACTGAAAGGCTTAATGATCGTCTCTGATACCATTAATATGACTTGCATTTTAATTTTCCAAGTATGTGCTTGCAGAGGCATAGTTATTCAAGGTTTTTAATGCAAAACTTATAAAACTTATATAGCCATCATAGTATAAGCACTTATTTGTCAAGTACTTCTAGATATATAACATTACCTGGTTGTTGTGTTGATCTGAAGGATCTGGATGTCTCTGTGGCAGTAGTTAGTGCGGCTTGGAGACTGGCACCAGGTATTGTCCTTCTAAAGTCTTAATGTAGTTGGCAAAACACTTCGTGATTAAGAGTTTGCTGAGTTTTCATCAGTGAAATCTTTAGTAGTCTAGAGAGAAATTGGGAGAGAGAGGGAGAGACAGACAGA